GGAAACGATAGAGAAAATCAAAAGCTGCATTTTGCGAGTTGGTGGAGCTCAAACGGAGCAGTAGAACAAAAGTTATGAGCAAAAAACGAATTCAATCGACTCTGCTTGACTTGTGTCGTGAGTTTCAACTTTGTCGAGAATTTATTGTTGTACCTCTATAAATTTATAGAGATCCTGCACACGTATAATGTGTCCTTTCACACTCGAGTAGATTGCAAGTATGTCTAGATGTAAAACCCAGACGTGTATCGTTCACGTTAGAAAAGAGTGCATTCTACATACTGCGTGTTCTCCAAGACTATCTGTCGACAAGAAACAATCGATGTGTGTTGTTTGATGCGTGTGAATGTTTGTTCTGTTGTGTTTTGAGTATAGACAGTTTGTGTGCATCCGCGTCGTCGTGTAGTGAGTCGCCAAAGAGATATTTTCGTCTTATTCTGAATGTTTGTCACCAAGGACAGAATATAGCGTTTAAAAGGGGTTGTAGCTCAGATGGTAGAGCGCCCGCTTCGCATGCGGGAGGTACAGGGATCGATACCCTGCTGCTCCAAAGTTTTATCCTTGTTTTGCACGTGTCGAAAAGGACAAGACAACGTTTTTCGGCCATACCTCTTTTCGCAATCGTCGTTTTGCCATTTGAGCGACGGGAAACGATAGAGAAAATCAAAAGCTGCATTTTGCGAGTTGGTGGAGCTCAAACGGAGCAGTAGAACAAAAGTTATGAGCAAAAAACGAATTCAATCGACTCTGCTTGACTTGTGTCGTGAGTTTCAACTTTGTCGAGAATTTATTGTTGTACCTCTATAAATTTATAGAGATCCTGCACACGTATAATGTGTCCTTTCACACTCGAGTAGATTGCAAGTATGTCTAGATGTAAAACCCAGACGTGTATCGTTCACGTTAGAAAAGAGTGCATTCTACATACTGCGTGTTCTCCAAGACTATCTGTCGACAAGAAACAATCGATGTGTGTTGTTTGATGCGTGTGAATGTTTGTTCTGTTGTGTTTTGAGTATAGACAGTTTGTGTGCATCCGCGTCGTCGTGTAGTGAGTCGCCAAAGAGATATTTTCGTCTTATTCTGAATGTTTGTCACCAAGGACAGAATATAGCGTTTAAAAGGGGTTGTAGCTCAGATGGTAGAGCGCCCGCTTCGCATGCGGGAGGTACAGGGATCGATACCCTGCTGCTCCAAAGTTTTATCCTTGTTTTGCACGTGTCGAAAAGGACAAGACAACGTTTTTCGGCCATACCTCTTTTCGCAATCGTCGTTTTGCCATTTGAGCGACGGGAAACGATAGAGAAAATCAAAAGCTGCATTTTGCGAGTTGGTGGAGCTCAAACGGAGCAGTAGAACAAAAGTTATGAGCAAAAAACGAATTCAATCGACTCTGCTTGACTTGTGTCGTGAGTTTCAACTTTGTCGAGAATTTATTGTTGTACCTCTATAAATTTATAGAGATCCTGCACACGTATAATGTGTCCTTTCACACTCGAGTAGATTGCAAGTATGTCTAGATGTAAAACCCAGACGTGTATCGTTCACGTTAGAAAAGAGTGCATTCTACATACTGCGTGTTCTCCAAGACTATCTGTCGACAAGAAACAATCGATGTGTGTTGTTTGATGCGTGTGAATGTTTGTTCTGTTGTGTTTTGAGTATAGACAGTTTGTGTGCATCCGCGTCGTCGTGTAGTGAGTCGCCAAAGAGATATTTTCGTCTTATTCTGAATGTTTGTCACCAAGGACAGAATATAGCGTTTAAAAGGGGTTGTAGCTCAGATGGTAGAGCGCCCGCTTCGCATGCGGGAGGTACAGGGATCGATACCCTGCTGCTCCAAAGTTTTATCCTTGTTTTGCACGTGTCGAAAAGGACAAGACAACGTTTTTCGGCCATACCTCTTTTCGCAATCGTCGTTTTGCCATTTGAGCGACGGGAAACGATAGAGAAAATCAAAAGCTGCATTTTGCGAGTTGGTGGAGCTCAAACGGAGCAGTAGAACAAAAGTTATGAGCAAAAAACGAATTCAATCGACTCTGCTTGACTTGTGTCGTGAGTTTCAACTTTGTCGAGAATTTATTGTTGTACCTCTATAAATTTATAGAGATCCTGCACACGTATAATGTGTCCTTTCACACTCGAGTAGATTGCAAGTATGTCTAGATGTAAAACCCAGACGTGTATCGTTCACGTTAGAAAAGAGTGCATTCTACATACTGCGTGTTCTCCAAGACTATCTGTCGACAAGAAACAATCGATGTGTGTTGTTTGATGCGTGTGAATGTTTGTTCTGTTGTGTTTTGAGTATAGACAGTTTGTGTGCATCCGCGTCGTCGTGTAGTGAGTCGCCAAAGAGATATTTTCGTCTTATTCTGAATGTTTGTCACCAAGGACAGAATATAGCGTTTAAAAGGGGTTGTAGCTCAGATGGTAGAGCGCCCGCTTCGCATGCGGGAGGTACAGGGATCGATACCCTGCTGCTCCAAAGTTTTATCCTTGTTTTGCACGTGTCGAAAAGGACAAGACAACGTTTTTCGGGCCATACCTCTTTTCGCAATCGTCGTTTTGCCATTTGAGCGACGGGAAACGATAGAGAAAATCAAAAGCTGCATTTTGCGAGTTGGTGGAGCTCAAACGGAGCAGTAGAACAAAAGTTATGAGCAAAAAACGAATTCAATCGACTCTGCTTGACTTGTGTCGTGAGTTTCAACTTTGTCGAGAATTTATTGTTGTACCTCTATAAATTTATAGAGATCCTGCACACGTATAATGTGTCCTTTCACACTCGAGTAGATTGCAAGTATGTCTAGATGTAAAACCCAGACGTGTATCGTTCACGTTAGAAAAGAGTGCATTCTACATACTGCGTGTTCTCCAAGACTATCTGTCGACAAGAAACAATCGATGTGTGTTGTTTGATGCGTGTGAATGTTTGTTCTGTTGTGTTTTGAGTATAGACAGTTTGTGTGCATCCGCGTCGTCGTGTAGTGAGTCGCCAAAGAGATATTTTCGTCTTATTCTGAATGTTTGTCACCAAGGACAGAATATAGCGTTTAAAAGGGGTTGTAGCTCAGATGGTAGAGCGCCCGCTTCGCATGCGGGAGGTACAGGGATCGATACCCTGCTGCTCCAAAGTTTTATCCTTGTTTTGCACGTGTCGAAAAGGACAAGACAACGTTTTTCGGCCATACCTCTTTTCGCAATCGTCGTTTTGCCATTTGAGCGACGGGAAACGATAGAGAAAATCAAAAGCTGCATTTTGCGAGTTGGTGGAGCTCAAACGGAGCAGTAGAACAAAAGTTATGAGCAAAAAACGAATTCAATCGACTCTGCTTGACTTGTGTCGTGAGTTTCAACTTTGTCGAGAATTTATTGTTGTACCTCTATAAATTTATAGAGATCCTGCACACGTATAATGTGTCCTTTCACACTCGAGTAGATTGCAAGTATGTCTAGATGTAAAACCCAGACGTGTATCGTTCACGTTAGAAAAGAGTGCATTCTACATACTGCGTGTTCTCCAAGACTATCTGTCGACAAGAAACAATCGATGTGTGTTGTTTGATGCGTGTGAATGTTTGTTCTGTTGTGTTTTGAGTATAGACAGTTTGTGTGCATCCGCGTCGTCGTGTAGTGAGTCGCCAAAGAGATATTTTCGTCTTATTCTGAATGTTTGTCACCAAGGACAGAATATAGCGTTTAAAAGGGGTTGTAGCTCAGATGGTAGAGCGCCCGCTTCGCATGCGGGAGGTACAGGGATCGATACCCTGCTGCTCCAAAGTTTTATCCTTGTTTTGCACGTGTCGAAAAGGACAAGACAACGTTTTTCGGCCATACCTCTTTTCGCAATCGTCGTTTTGCCATTTGAGCGACGGGAAACGATAGAGAAAATCAAAAGCTGCATTTTGCGAGTTGGTGGAGCTCAAACGGAGCAGTAGAACAAAAGTTATGAGCAAAAAACGAATTCAATCGACTCTGCTTGACTTGTGTCGTGAGTTTCAACTTTGTCGAGAATTTATTGTTGTACCTCTATAAATTTATAGAGATCCTGCACACGTATAATGTGTCCTTTCACACTCGAGTAGATTGCAAGTATGTCTAGATGTAAAACCCAGACGTGTATCGTTCACGTTAGAAAAGAGTGCATTCTACATACTGCGTGTTCTCCAAGACTATCTGTCGACAAGAAACAATCGATGTGTGTTGTTTGATGCGTGTGAATGTTTGTTCTGTTGTGTTTTGAGTATAGACAGTTTGTGTGCATCCGCGTCGTCGTGTAGTGAGTCGCCAAAGAGATATTTTCGTCTTATTCTGAATGTTTGTCACCAAGGACAGAATATAGCGTTTAAAAGGGGTTGTAGCTCAGATGGTAGAGCGCCCGCTTCGCATGCGGGAGGTACAGGGATCGATACCCTGCTGCTCCAAAGTTTTATCCTTGTTTTGCACGTGTCGAAAAGGACAAGACAACGTTTTTCGGCCATACCTCTTTTCGCAATCGTCGTTTTGCCATTTGAGCGACGGGAAACGATAGAGAAAATCAAAAGCTGCATTTTGCGAGTTGGTGGAGCTCAAACGGAGCAGTAGAACAAAAGTTATGAGCAAAAAACGAATTCAATCGACTCTGCTTGACTTGTGTCGTGAGTTTCAACTTTGTCGAGAATTTATTGTTGTACCTCTATAAATTTATAGAGATCCTGCACACGTATAATGTGTCCTTTCACACTCGAGTAGATTGCAAGTATGTCTAGATGTAAAACCCAGACGTGTATCGTTCACGTTAGAAAAGAGTGCATTCTACATACTGCGTGTTCTCCAAGACTATCTGTCGACAAGAAACAATCGATGTGTGTTGTTTGATGCGTGTGAATGTTTGTTCTGTTGTGTTTTGAGTATAGACAGTTTGTGTGCATCCGCGTCGTCGTGTAGTGAGTCGCCAAAGAGATATTTTCGTCTTATTCTGAATGTTTGTCACCAAGGACAGAATATAGCGTTTAAAAGGGGTTGTAGCTCAGATGGTAGAGCGCCCGCTTCGCATGCGCGGGAGGTACAGGGATCGATACCCTGCTGCTCCAAAGTTTTATCCTTGTTTTGCACGTGTCGAAAAGGACAAGACAACGTTTTTCGGCCATACCTCTTTTCGCAATCGTCGTTTTGCCATTTGAGCGACGGGAAACGATAGAGAAAATCAAAAGCTGCATTTTGCGAGTTGGTGGAGCTCAAACGGAGCAGTAGAACAAAAGTTATGAGCAAAAAACGAATTCAATCGACTCTGCTTGACTTGTGTCGTGAGTTTCAACTTTGTCGAGAATTTATTGTTGTACCTCTATAAATTTATAGAGATCCTGCACACGTATAATGTGTCCTTTCACACTCGAGTAGATTGCAAGTATGTCTAGATGTAAAACCCAGACGTGTATCGTTCACGTTAGAAAAGAGTGCATTCTACATACTGCGTGTTCTCCAAGACTATCTGTCGACAAGAAACAATCGATGTGTGTTGTTTGATGCGTGTGAATGTTTGTTCTGTTGTGTTTTGAGTATAGACAGTTTGTGTGCATCCGCGTCGTCGTGTAGTGAGTCGCCAAAGAGATATTTTCGTCTTATTCTGAATGTTTGTCACCAAGGACAGAATATAGCGTTTAAAAGGGGTTGTAGCTCAGATGGTAGAGCGCCCGCTTCGCATGCGGGAGGTACAGGGATCGATACCCTGCTGCTCCAAAGTTTTATCCTTGTTTTGCACGTGTCGAAAAGGACAAGACAACGTTTTTCGGCCATACCTCTTTTCGCAATCGTCGTTTTGCCATTTGAGCGACGGGAAACGATAGAGAAAATCAAAAGCTGCATTTTGCGAGTTGGTGGAGCTCAAACGGAGCAGTAGAACAAAAGTTATGAGCAAAAAACGAATTCAATCGACTCTGCTTGACTTGTGTCGTGAGTTTCAACTTTGTCGAGAATTTATTGTTGTACCTCTATAAATTTATAGAGATCCTGCACACGTATAATGTGTCCTTTCACACTCGAGTAGATTGCAAGTATGTCTAGATGTAAAACCCAGACGTGTATCGTTCACGTTAGAAAAGAGTGCATTCTACATACTGCGTGTTCTCCAAGACTATCTGTCGACAAGAAACAATCGATGTGTGTTGTTTGATGCGTGTGAATGTTTGTTCTGTTGTGTTTTGAGTATAGACAGTTTGTGTGCATCCGCGTCGTCGTGTAGTGAGTCGCCAAAGAGATATTTTCGTCTTATTCTGAATGTTTGTCACCAAGGACAGAATATAGCGTTTAAAAGGGGTTGTAGCTCAGATGGTAGAGCGCCCGCTTCGCATGCGGGAGGTACAGGGATCGATACCCTGCTGCTCCAAAGTTTTATCCTTGTTTTGCACGTGTCGAAAAGGACAAGACAACGTTTTTCGGCCATACCTCTTTTCGCAATCGTCGTTTTGCCATTTGAGCGACGGGAAACGATAGAGAAAATCAAAAGCTGCATTTTGCGAGTTGGTGGAGCTCAAACGGAGCAGTAGAACAAAAGTTATGAGCAAAAAACGAATTCAATCGACTCTGCTTGACTTGTGTCGTGAGTTTCAACTTTGTCGAGAATTTATTGTTGTACCTCTATAAATTTATAGAGATCCTGCACACGTATAATGTGTCCTTTCACACTCGAGTAGATTGCAAGTATGTCTAGATGTAAAACCCAGACGTGTATCGTTCACGTTAGAAAAGAGTGCATTCTACATACTGCGTGTTCTCCAAGACTATCTGTCGACAAGAAACAATCGATGTGTGTTGTTTGATGCGTGTGAATGTTTGTTCTGTTGTGTTTTGAGTATAGACAGTTTGTGTGCATCCGCGTCGTCGTGTAGTGAGTCGCCAAAGAGATATTTTCGTCTTATTCTGAATGTTTGTCACCAAGGACAGAATATAGCGTTTAAAAGGGGTTGTAGCTCAGATGGTAGAGCGCCCGCTTCGCATGCGGGAGGTACAGGGATCGATACCCTGCTGCTCCAAAGTTTTATCCTTGTTTTGCACGTGTCGAAAAGGACAAGACAACGTTTTTCGGCCATACCTCTTTTCGCAATCGTCGTTTTGCCATTTGAGCGACGGGAAACGATAGAGAAAATCAAAAGCTGCATTTTGCGAGTTGGTGGAGCTCAAACGGAGCAGTAGAACAAAAGTTATGAGCAAAAAACGAATTCAATCGACTCTGCTTGACTTGTGTCGTGAGTTTCAACTTTGTCGAGAATTTATTGTTGTACCTCTATAAATTTATAGAGATCCTGCACACGTATAATGTGTCCTTTCACACTCGAGTAGATTGCAAGTATGTCTAGATGTAAAACCCAGACGTGTATCGTTCACGTTAGAAAAGAGTGCATTCTACATACTGCGTGTTCTCCAAGACTATCTGTCGACAAGAAACAATCGATGTGTGTTGTTTGATGCGTGTGAATGTTTGTTCTGTTGTGTTTTGAGTATAGACAGTTTGTGTGCATCCGCGTCGTCGTGTAGTGAGTCGCCAAAGAGATATTTTCGTCTTATTCTGAATGTTTGTCACCAAGGACAGAATATAGCGTTTAAAAGGGGTTGTAGCTCAGATGGTAGAGCGCCCGCTTCGCATGCGGGAGGTACAGGGATCGATACCCTGCTGCTCCAAAGTTTTATCCTTGTTTTGCACGTGTCGAAAAGGACAAGACAACGTTTTTCGGCCATACCTCTTTTCGCAATCGTCGTTTTGCCATTTGAGCGACGGGAAACGATAGAGAAAATCAAAAGCTGCATTTTGCGAGTTGGTGGAGCTCAAACGGAGCAGTAGAACAAAAGTTATGAGCAAAAAACGAATTCAATCGACTCTGCTTGACTTGTGTCGTGAGTTTCAACTTTGTCGAGAATTTATTGTTGTACCTCTATAAATTTATAGAGATCCTGCACACGTATAATGTGTCCTTTCACACTCGAGTAGATTGCAAGTATGTCTAGATGTAAAACCCAGACGTGTATCGTTCACGTTAGAAAAGAGTGCATTCTACATACTGCGTGTTCTCCAAGACTATCTGTCGACAAGAAACAATCGATGTGTGTTGTTTGATGCGTGTGAATGTTTGTTCTGTTGTGTTTTGAGTATAGACAGTTTGTGTGCATCCGCGTCGTCGTGTAGTGAGTCGCCAAAGAGATATTTTCGTCTTATTCTGAATGTTTGTCACCAAGGACAGAATATAGCGTTTAAAAGGGGTTGTAGCTCAATGTCAATGGGGAGTCTATTTGTAGTTAATGTAAACTACAAACTAATATTGCCCGAAGGCTCATCCCATTTCCAACTGCTAGGCTGAATTGGAAATCAATTTGGCTTGTCGTTTTCTTGATTCGCTTCGACGTTGGGACTTCGATGGGGGTTGTAGCTCAGATGGTAGAGCGCCCGCTTCGCATGCGGGATCTACTGGAAAAAACATACCAACCAACAAGGCACTTTCTTCTACGAGGAGCCAATTTATTCCATCAGCCATACCTCTCATCCCACTGGAGGCCTTGCTACATTTATTCATCCTGACTGCCCTCTGGACAATTGCACCAATTTAAACCACTCTTGGGACAAACCTCTCCTCCGTGGTCGTTATTTACTTATATCGGCCACTCTGGACAATATCCCGGTTTTTATTCACAACATCTATGCTCCGTACGACTATCACGACCGTGTGGATTTTTTTAATGATCTGCCTCGCGATTTTCCACCCGAAGCTTTTCATATTGTTGGTGGCGACTTTAACGTTATTTTCTCCCCAACATTAGATTCATGCCGTCCTTCGACTCATGCGACCCATGGCTCATATGAACTCAACCTATGGCTACAAGATTTACACCTCGTTGACATTTTCCGTCAACAAAATCCACTGAAACGTGCTTTCACAAGTCCAAAATTTGTCAATCGGCTTGACTATATTTTCATCTCGTCTGCTATGGCATCCCTACGTCATCTGAAATTTCGTCACCTGGAACCAATTCCTCATGCTGACCACACTCCCTGCAAATTATTGACCAAACGTCCATCAGTATCAATGGGACCTGGTCCATGGAAAACACCACAATGGGTTCTCAACAATGACAAGGCCAAATTCATTATCTCTCGTCAACTTGAAACCTTCCTTACCAAGACCCAATTAAACTCAAATGTTGGTCTACATTTCGACACCATGATCACCAACATGCGAAATCAATTAAAATACCTACACGACGAGTTGGTCGAAAATCAACAAAGGCCTCTCAAGAAATTATCTATGGATTTGGCTTTATTGATTCGGGATTACCAAAACGCCCCATGTGCGTCCTTGATGGCACGTATCAAAACAATTCAAGCTGCCATACATGAATATCATGACAGGAAAAAAGTCCTACGGGAAGATACTGCTATGCAAACTCATCTCGAGAAAGCGGAAAGGTGTACCAAATTTCACCTGAAGCCACCTCGCACAATCCCTTTACAAAAATCTCCCTTCAAGGCACTCAAAATGTCCAATGGAAATATTGCTTCTGATCAACAATCAATTTCCTCGACACTCCACGAGTTTTATTCTGACCTGTATGGCGACCATGAGGCAGTTGACAAGGAAAGAACGGCCAAGTATTTAAAAACTCTGATATCTCGCCGACTCAATATCGACGACAAGAGATTTATTGGGGCTCCTCTCACGGCAAACGAATTTTATTTTGCCATTAAACACTCCAAACGGAATTCAACTCCTGGGCCAAATTCACTGCCCTACGAAATTTTGAAAATGTTTCCCCATGAATGGTCCCTGGCTTTGGAAATGCTATACTATTACCAAATCAACTCTCACTCCAACTTGGCACCCTCCCAATTGACAAGTTTAATTGTACTGCTGTACAAAAAGGACGACAAACTACTCCCAAAAAATTACCGTCCCATCAGCTTGGTCAATATCGACGTGAAAATCCTCACAATGGTCCTTGCAGAACGAATGCAGAGAATCATTCAGTCGATAGTCCACCCGGATCAAACAGGTTTTATTCGTGGTCGATCAATCCAAACCAATTTACTGCGCTTGGAAGACCTGAA